AAGTTCTCCATATGCGAGGAATTTGTTATTCCTTTTGATAGTAATCGCATTATTAAAGAGAACAGAATAACCATCCGCACACAGTTTTGAAACATAAATTAAATTTCTTCTCAAATTGGGTACATAAAGACAATCTTTTAATGTAATTATTCCTTCTCTGAAATACAATTCTACAGTTTCTATAGTTGTAGCTGCAACGCTTGCAGAAGTCCCCAAGTAAAAAATCACTTCACCGTCACTCAGTCTTCTGTTTGTCCTGAACCTCTGCAATGTGTTACATGCATGAATAGAAGCCACGGAGTCAATACACCAGGAAGCAGAAGTCACCAACATATTGGTTTCTATGACAAAGGATTTGAAATTACCTTGTTTCTTGGTCTCCAGGTATTGAGGACAGTTCCCCTTCCAGTGGTCGGTCTGTTTGCAGAAGTGACAAGCATCCAATGCCTTGTCCTTCCTCTACTTTTTAGGCTTGCTAGTTTTCTTCTAAAGTTTCTTCTTTGCCTTCCTCTTCTTCTTGCCCGATTTGCCACTTTCAACAAGCATGGCAATGGGCTCATCTTTCTTTATCAGTTCTTCGGCCCTTTGCAACATATTGTTGAGTTCCTGAAGGCTAACATTTAGCTTGTTCATATTGTAATTCATTATGAACTGATTGAAGGAAATAGGCAAATGATGGCATCAACTTTGGTGACATGACCTAGCCCAGATCCAAGAGCCTCTAGTTCATTGATGTACCTCATCATCTTAAGACAATAGTCATGAACTAGCTAGTTCTTAGACATTTGTGCGGTCATAAATTGTTTTAGGACCTTTTTGACGAGTCCTTAGACTATCCAAGATATCTTTGGACACTTCGATTTGATCGAATTGTCGTTGTATCTGATTGTCTAAGGAGGCTATGATATAGCATCGGGCAAGAGAGTTTCTCTTCCCGTTCTTGATATTCCCTCCTACGGGCCTCAGAAGCCCTATCACCCAGACGATCCGGAGCAGGGTTCTTAGCAACCTTGTCCAATTTCTCGGACGTTAGAACCAGCATAAGGTTATGATACCAGTCAACGTAATTTGGGCCCTTAAGCTTATTGTCGTTTAACAGTTTGGCAAATTGTTTGTTTGCCATTTCTGATAAAAGGCAAAGCAAATATTAGTCCACGACCTTATTTGATTCATGTTATCTACATAGATATGGCTTTTAATCTATGTTCTATTTCCTTTTGTTCATCTCTGAGATTCCCCTCCTATTTCAGTGACGGAGACTCCGAACTTTGGCTCTGGAAATGTGGGAAACCACAGGGTGCATGGAGCCAACTGTTTTAGCTGCATAACCTCACCACCTTCTGTGAAGGATCACATCCACTCATCTCATGAGTTTTTCCTTTGGCCTCTGTCAGACAAGGTTCATTGCCATTTTAGATTAAACATTTCTGTCCAGTGAGTGCTTACCCATCATATTCGTGGACGCCAAGGTACCGTGAGAGAGTCTTCCATTTTAGGATAGGCCCCTCCCACATCGGTCTATGACACCCCTATCATCTTATGAAACAATCCAACAGATCCAGCAGCAAATGGATAGTCCAATTTTATGGTGCATTTCCTCACTACTGAAGGACCCATCTTCATGTTAATGATGGAAGGCCTTTAAAGAGTTCATCATATGAATCTCCCTATCACATGCACTCATATTTCAGTGGAGAGAATGAAATATTACGCCCTAGTTTTATTTAGGTCAAACCAAAGTGGCTCCTACTGGCTTTTTCAAAGCCAAATTTAAATGGGCCCTAAACGGATAGGGTTCCGCACGGTTCCTCTTGGGGAGGAAGCTAATGTGGGTTCCACCAAATGAGATCTAATGATCTTATGGACACCATGGCCATGGTGTGCGAAAGAGCCACTATCGAAATAATCATGAGCCAAGTACTTATGGTCCATGTACATAACACATCACACATCCATACATCACATGCATGAAACAAATTGATCCAATCAATTAAAATATCTGTAAAATCCTTAATTAATTAGATTAAATCAGTATTAGCCCAACAGAGCCCATAATGTTATCATATAACATTATCTAGGTACATGGGTTGTACTGCAAAAAGCAATTCGGCCCATGTAGCTATATTAGGGCTGATTCAGTTTTATCATATTAAATTGAGGTTTTACAGTGGTGGGCCGAATTAAAACTTGAAGTGGGTCATCAACTCTCTGGCCTGAATCGAATTAGAGTTAGAAAAAACCAACCCCATTGAACCAACAATTCGGTTCAACCAGTTTGGACCAGATCTGGTGTAAATCGGTCCAAGTTTTGGTGTCTAGTTCAAAATTTAATTCAAGAATAATAATCTGAAAATAAATTAATTCAAGATAATCAAATTATCAAGAAACTAAAATCAGAGGGCTGCACTGTAATTTTCTTGGATATCCTGCAAACCTGCAAAGAACAGTTAATCGTTGATTGCAAAATCGATATCTGCAAAATCGCAGATCCCATAAATTGTTTTTGCGAAAATTTCTTCTCCTCTGTTGCGCGCTCCAACAATCTCCAAATGGAAATAAAATAAAAAAAACCTAATTTTTCTATTATTACATCACATCAAATTCCTATACAATTTGTCTAAATATATATATATATATATATATATATATATATATATTTACAGACCAAAATTGAATAGAAAAGAAATCGCAGGGTGTGCCATTCTTGGCACCATAAAGATTTGATCTCCACCACATGTGCAGCCCAAAAATTCAAGAAACATTCACAGAACAATTCTATAAATATCAGAAAATAATAATAATTTATTTTCCAGATCATCTGCCCATAATCTGGGAACCAATTCCCAGAAAAAAACGTTAACTACGCAAATCGGGTAGAACGCCTTCTGCCCATTTGCGCAGATTCAGATCTATTCCAATTTGGTTCAAGACTTGAACTTGGCTCTGATACCACTGATGGGATGGAAGATCCATCATATGGATGACCGAACCCTACAGGAAGGTTGGGCGAAATTTCAAAAATTTCTTTACTCCCATCCGGGAATCCTATTCCCAAATTTAAAAAACTGCATTTTCAAGGTTCATTCTTGTAACCAAACCGGACCAAATCTGAAACAAAAATAAGGGAGGGATATACCTGATACGGAATCCATGCAAGAATGCTCCTCCCAACGTAGTTGTTCACGCCCAAAGAGAGTACCAAATCCTCCCTCCACTGAAGATGACACAGCTTAGGGTGAGGCAGGATTAGCAGGTAGTTCTTCACCAAGAACTAGTGATTCTTCATCAAGAATCGAATGGGACGATGAACACAGCTTCGAAATTGTTTCTTCTGGCAAAAAACAATATCAAGATCAAATCTTGATCCAATCCAAGAACTGGAGATCGAACAGGGTAGGGCAGCAAGAGCAAGAAGAAAAAAAGCAGAAGGCAAGATCAGTCTAACTGTGTTGTCTTCTCTCTGTATTCAGTGAGTGTATTTTGAAGGTTCGCCCTGCTCTCTTATTTATAGCCTTAAAGAGACAATTTTGCTAATCTCATTAGGAGTTTCCTAATCCAAATCTTTTATTTGGATCTGGACTTTTTAAGTGATAAGGATAATCCCTTATCTTATCTACAGATAAAGATCAGCCTTCCTAATCAAATTAGGATTTCCTTTGATCCAAATCTTTATTTGGATCTAGAGTCTTTAAGTGTTGTTCCAAATCCCAGACCCGCCCCTATTTAATTAATCTAATTAACCTAGTTCGAAATGGGCTTTTAGGCCCATTAAGCTTTCAGGCTCACTTCCCCTTAAATGCTGGTTAGCTTGGTTCTCTTTGTATGGCGTGGGACCTTATCATTGATCTACACATCAGCCACATGGGTTCAGCATAGCCTCTGTTACAAGGCCTGGCCGAATTCACTGCTGAATACAATGAACCCCTGAATCCAACACTATGGGCTCTTAATGGGCCCAATATTTACACTAAATGGTCCTTGGGTCCAGCCATCTTATGAAGACCCAAGGATTATGGGCAAATGCAAAATTAGCCCATCAGGTATAACCCTCAATGGTTTTACACTTAACCTCTCAGCCCATAATGATCAAACATTACCCGACAAAAGAGAACCTCTCTCGGCTGCAAGGTGCAGTGCTGCACTTTCTACTCACATGGATCCCGAGAATTAAAACTTTTTGCAAACATTTTGAAGCCATAATATTATATATTTATATCTCCATATGAATATATTTTGCAAATACAAATTTCAACGATTGAAATCAAATGCCGGCAGTTTAGGTTTTCATCAGAGAGAGTGCATCCTTGATCATTCACTTTGTCCGACAAAAGGGCTGATCTTGTCACTATGATCACCCACTCAAATGAATTCTCGAACTATTCCAACATACCCAGGTTTTGACCCCCTCTAAGGGTCTCATTGATTGGCATATCAAAGACAGCCCAATCCGACACCTAGTGCAGTATCATAATCGAGTGTAGGGGTCAGGTGTAACATTCCAGTTTTTCCCATCTATCTCCAAGGTCCAGGGCAATACTGAAATTTTGGTCCGGTTCAGGGTTTCAAGAAAACCCACACTGCATGCACCTTAGGTTTCACCCTAGCAGCCGAGACAAGCCACCCCAACCAACTTTGTGGTACATCAGAAACACACCATAATAACATGAATCAAATATGTATTTTATTCATTTACAATAAATGTCATAATGTACATCATGCTGATTGGAGCTAAGGGCATACACTGTCTAACAGATAACATTTAAAATGGACTCATTCAGTGGTTAGTCCTAATCCTATGAGACACTCAAAAGGCTCTGCAAGACACCTGCCAAAATATTTTGGGGTTTAAAACTTTAACAACTGTGTTTGTGATGCTATTACAAACATTTTAGGAATAAGATTTTATCTCTATTAAAATATTTGGTTTTGGTTTTTCTTCCCATTTTTCTGTCATTCTTAATTGCTCCTGTATTTGCAACTAAATTCTGCCTCTTCCACAGGTCTCATCTTGTAGCAAAGCTAATCTTCCTAGACCAGCTTTGCGAGCTCTCTCCGTACCTCCCAAGGAGCACTCTTGAATCCCATATTCCTTATGCCATTCTCCGTTCAATATATAGCCAGTACTATGCAAATTCTCCATCCATCCCTCTGGCATTGCTAAGCCCATCACCCCGACAATCACCTTATGTCTCTACAACACATGCATCTCCTGCAATCCGCCAAAATCGGAATGATTCTGCAGTTCAGACAAGTTCAAATGATTCAGGTTTCTTCAAGGCATCATCTCATAGTCAGGAGCAGTTCTATGATACTGATAGTGGAAGTCTACACAGTACTGACAACAACAAACATCGGAATGTTCGTCGTTCTGGACCCCTGGAGTATAGTTCAAGCCGAAAAGTGAAGTTTGAAGCCTCTACTTCAGGTACCACTGGTCCAAGTCCATTGCCAAGGTTTGCAGTGTCAAGGTCGGGTCCTTTATCATACAAGTAGAATGTGGCATAAAACTAAGGAAATGAGAGAGTTGTAAATTATCTGTTTCTCTTCTTGGATAATGAGCTAATTATTTGTGCACAATTACTTGATGGTCAGATAGGAAGTTCCAGGGAACACAAACATTGTTAAGAGAATGTAGCCAAGTCATTGAAGGTAGAGCCAAGCTGCATGCCAGTTTTAGTCATTGTCAATAGTTGGTGACTTGATTGAGATATCAGGAGCCTGCGGTTGCACAGTAATTCACTCCCAATAATAATACTCTTGCTAGTCCCTGACACAACAAAGATAAACCAATATAAAGGAGCAAAAGCACTTGTTGGGCACTTTAGTAATGCACCAAAGAGCTAAAAAATGAGCAAAAATGGCTTGATTCCCAAGGACTGACAGCTGTTGTATATATTGATCTCAATGAGAAGCCCTATTTATCGGTGCGGGCTCTCTTTAATGTTAAAGAAAAAATTACGGTTGGGAGAGTCCCATCTGTTACGTGTCAGCTTGGATTTAGCATCAGTTGGACCTGTTCTGCCTGTTGGATCAATCACTAGTATCCACTAGATAGGATTAAGTGCCCAGAAATTTTTCAACAACCTAGCCAACCCCAAGCAGGATATGCTGACATGGCAATAGTTTGTTCAGCAGCAAAGAACAAGCAACTACTATTAATAATAAGAATTATTCTGCATAATGCATAAAAACACTTTACCCATTGGTGTAGGCTATGCGCCTATGCCATCTGCCTTAGGATTTATCCTTGCATCTAGGTTATTCCAATTGAGGGCATCTGACCATTTGCATCAATATATCCTATTTGGCCATTTAGGCCCGAGATGTCAGTTACCTTTCAGACCCAGTTTATTATATATGTGCTTTTTAAAATTTTCACCTGTTATATGCTTAGTAAATGAGTCAACTAGTATATTTCTTGTAGGTACATAATCTACCCGGATTTCTTTCCTATGGTAGATGTCAAGTAAATATCTGTACTAAAGTTTTATATGTCTTCCCTTTGGATCGATTTTGTCATTCTTTATTGTCTGAATTGTATCTTCATTGTCATTATACATTTGAGTTGGACCTCCTTGTAATTCTCTTATCTTGAAGTCTTCTCGTATCGGTACTGTTTTTTCTTACTTTTTTTAATTTTTTTTTCAAAACTGGTTGAAGGGGGCGGTTTAAGGCTCCTCCACCCCTTGAACCAGTCAAAACCCCGATACACCCTCTGTAGGGGCATATCAGGGTGCTTCCGATACGATACGTGTCGATATTTTGAACCTTGTCCGAAATAATTTGAGAAAACCTGAAGGCAAAATTCCATAGTGGTTTGTGGTGGAAGAGTGTAGGCTAGCTCGCCACAAATTTCAGTGCCATTAGTACCTATCAACGTTTTATTTTTTCAAATTTAAATTTGTGTCTCTTAACCTCGCACATTACTTACCATCTCTTTGACTACTATTATTTAAAGCAAGTATTCAAATTCAATTCCAGCTGCGATGCATTTCAAATATTTGTTGCATATTACATCAAATTTACAAGGTGTTTACCATTAATGACTTTAACATTATTAAAGGTTCAACTGTGATGTGTTAATTTTTTGCTTCACCTTGTGACTTACATATAACAGATTTTGCCTGTCTAATTGATTTCCAGGCCATTAGATTCCCCTAATTACTATAACCTTAATTTTTGTCTAAAAACTAATGATAAGAAAGATTTGATCCTAAGTATTTAAGCGAAAAGGTAATCCATCACTATATAGGCTTTGATTTTTGAACCGTAACTTTTAGACATTTTCTTATTCGATGTTTGTTAATAGATGCTTAAACATTGATACTAAAATCTGTATATTTATAAATATTAAAATAAATTATCTTTTTTCTAAGAATTATGATATGCTCATATACATAGGGGTTTCAATTGACCGTTTTGGTTTGGATCCAATCCGATCCAAACTTTATCAAATCAGATTTCGATAGTCTATTATAATTGTTGGATTGGATCAATCCAAAATAAATTGGTCCATATTTTTATTGATTTGAATTGGACTTAAACCAAATTTCCAATAATCCAATCATGAGGCCAAACCCTTGTTCAATTTGAAATCAATCAAAACTGAAGCCAGCATAAAATCACTTTTATGAAAGCACTTTTAAAGAAGTAGTTTTATAAAAGCACTTTTATAAAAGTAGTTTTGTGAAAGCATTTTTACAAAAGTACTTTTACAAAAACACTTTTATGAAAGCACTTTTATAAAAATACTTCTACGAAAGTACTTTTTCAAAAGCACTTTTACGAAAGAACTTTTATGGAAGTACAAAAGTACTTTTATGGAAGTACTTTATAAAAGTACTTTTATAAAAATACTTTTACAAAAGCACTTCTACAAAAGTGCTTTTATAAAAGTCTGGAAGAACTTTTCTAAAAGTGCTTTTACAAAAGCACTTTTACGAAGTACTTTCAATAAAGTGCTTTTGTAAAAGCACTTTTATGAAAATACTTTTATCAAAGTACTTTTATAAAAGTGCATTTTCAATGCCAAAAGTGCTTTTATATAATTTTTGATATTTCATTTGGTTTGGATTGGATTGGATCCAATCCAATCCATTTACATTTTAATGGATTGGATTGGATTGGATTGGATTTGGTTTGTATTGGATTTGGACTGGATTGGGTCCAGTCCATTTCTAAGTGGACTCACAATGGATCCAGTCTAATTGACACCTCTACGTATACATTTTAATTCTTCTATCGTTTCTCAAAGAGTCAAAGTTAACCAAGTGTGTTCCCAATTATCCACATTCCATATAAACATAATTTAAGTATGTGTTTCTTATATGTATACAACTTATACATAGCCTTCTAAAACTTATATTTAGTTTTTTTATACTTCTTTTGGGATTTATTTGACTTTTCTTGGCATATCCATGCATATCTTATTTTTTCCATTATATCCAAGGTTCTAACTATTGATAATGGTGTATTGGTTTATATCATTGAGCACTTTTATTTTTTTATTTTTTTTCTCAAACCTGTTCAAGAGGGTCGGTATAAGGCCTATATATCTACCCCCTGAAACCAAGCTTAAAGTGGCGTATAACCAATATGATATGTATTTGTAATACGAGTTGATACGTTGCAAAATTTTGATCCTTGATTGCATCCAGGCATATCCAAAGCATATAATCTCTTAAAATTGCCTTGCTATTGTGTTTCTAATGAATTCGGATTAGCTGAATGCTTTAACTGTTCAGTGGGCTGTGGAACCAATGATGAGGTTCCATGCCAATAATAAATTCATGGGTCCCATTATAAAAAAATGCAAGCCCCATGTACTTAATATTGGCATGGAACCTTATCATTGGTTCCATAGCCCTCTGAACAGGAAGCTAAACCTTGCTCGCTTCTAATACTTTGAACCCTAATGCAGACATTATTTTTAAAACAGACAATCATACAAGAGTATTGTCAGAGGAAGAGGGGATGATCTAAGAATTTTTTTTTTATTTTAAAAGAATTAATTCATACTAGTTACCACGCGAGAGAACATTCACACAACTTAGGGTGTTGGAATCCTATTGGGTTTACCACCACAAGTTTTACAACATCTAAGTTTACAACAATGTTTTTAAAGTTGACCTGGAAATGAAACCACTTTTCAATTCGAGTGGTGGTGGTTCAATGGTTCATCTGAATGAGTAAAATAGACCAAACATGTGATTAAATAAATTAAATAATAAAAGTATAAAATACAAAAAATATATAAAAATAAAGAAAAAATGTAGAAAATTGGGCATGTCTCTAAAATTATATATATTCTTCATATTAAATGAAAGTGCGATAAATAAGAATTATTGTCATCAGTGAGAGAAATTGGTAAAAATGAAGACGTTAGCTCTAATGCTAGAAGAAAAGGAAGGAGAGAAAAGAAGATGAAAAAAATTAGTACCTCACCTCTCTTATCAACCCTAAACCGATATTTATAAAGAAATTAAAATAAAATACATGAAGGGACAAGTTTGCCCCTCATAAGTGGACAATAAGACAAATTAAAATTACAATATAAGCCCAAACCCATTTAGCCCAAAGAGAAAATAAAACAAAAAAGAAAACATAAATAGTAAAGAGCCAAGCCCACAATATTATGTCTCACAACACTCCCCTCAAGCTTAGCATGGATATCTATCATGCTCAACTTGCATGATAATTCATCAAGTTTGGCTTTAGAGATACCTTTGGTAAAAATATCAACTTTTGTTGAAGGCATATATGGAACACAAAGCTCCCCACAAATAATCATTTCTCTTACAAAGTGTTCATCAACTTCAATGTGTTTAGTCTTATTACATTGATTTGGATTATTTGTGATGTGGATGGATGATTGATTGTATAATGCCCTGTTCAGTTTATATACTTTCCCTTTCATATCATGCCTTGAAGAATGGTCCATGGAAACTTCTTCCTCAAGGTCTCTATTCAAGAAGGCAATTTTACCATCCAACTGATGCAATTCTCAACTAGAGTTTGTTGCTGAAAAATGTAATACTTGTATAGTATTGAACTTAGCCACCTGAGCAAAGGTTTCTTTATAATCTATATTTTTTTTATCAAACTCTTTTGCAACTAGCCTAGCTTTATATCTCTTAACAGATCCATCTACCTAGTGTGCACCCATTTGCAAACAATTATGTTATTTTCCTTTGATAGATCCACCAACTCCCAAGTATTTTCTTTCAACAAAACACTCGTTTTTTCATTTATTACTTCTCTCCATTTAGGATTAGCAACAATGTCAAAGTACTTGGAAGGAGTGGAGACAGAAGAAAGGCAAAAACAAAGGAATAATAGGTTAAAGACAAATAAGCATAAGAAACAAACTTATTTATAGGATTACATGAACGAATAGGTTTTTTTAAAGCAACAAGAAGATCTAAATTAAAATATGGAGAAGGAGAAGGAATAATACCTTGGACTGCATTAGAAACATCCAACTAGTTAAAGTCATTTACTTAGGGGCCCTTCTTCTTCTTCTCTCTCTCTCTCTCTCTCTCGAATTGACAATAGGAGTAGGATTAGTATCACTTGAACACAAAAGAGCAGGAGTAGGAGGGGAGGAAGAGATAATAGGAGTATAGAGAATAGGATTAACCTTAGAAGAATTCTCTTCCACACCCTACAAGGCTCCCCACGATGAGGATTTAAAGGAAGATCAAAGAGAAAATGGGAGTCACAAAAGATGACATTT